TGCTAATATTTCATTGAGGATCTTTGCATCTATGTTAATCAGGGATATTGGCCTGCAATTTTCTTTCTTTGTGTTGTCCTTTTCTAGTTTTGGTATCAGAGCAATACTAGCCTTGTAAAATGAGTCTGGGAGTATCCTTCCTCTTCTGTTTTTTGGAAGAGTTTGAGAAGGATTGGTATTAATTCTTCTTTAAATGTTTGGTAGAATTCACCAGTGATGAAGTCATCTGGTCTTGGACTTCTGTTTGTTGGAAGGTTGATTAATGATTAATGATTCAGTTCCCTTGCTAAGAATACGTTCAGATTTTTTGTTTCTTCATGATGCAGTTTTGGTAGGTTGTGTGTTTCTAGGAATTTATCCATTTCTACTAGGTTGTCCAATTTGTTGGCATATAGTTTTTCATAGTAGTCTTTTTTGATTCTTTGTATTTCTCTGGTATAAGTTGTAACAGCTCTTCTTTCACTTCTGATTTTATGTATTTGCATTCTTTTGCTTTTTTTCTTGGTAAGTTTAGCTAAAGGTTTGTCTATTTTATCTTTTCAAAAAACCAGCTCTTAGTTTCATTGACTTTTTCTGTTGTCTTTTTAGTCTCTATTTCATTCATTTCCACTCTCATCTTTGTTATTTTGTTCCTTCTACTAACTTTGGGCTTTTTTTTCTAGTTCCTTGAGGTATAAAGTTAGGTTGAGCTCTTTCTTGCTTCTTACTGTAGGCATCTATCACTATGAGCTGCTGTTAGGGGCGCCTGGGTGGCTCAGTCGGTTAAGCATCCAACTCTTGACTTTGGCTCAGGTCATGACCTCAGGGTTGTGGGATCAAGCCCTGTGTTGGGCTCCATGCTCAGTGGGGAGTCGGCTTGAGATTCTCACTCTCCCTCTCCTTCTGCCCCTCTTTCCCCTCTCTCTCAAATAAATAAATAAATCTTTCTTTAAAATGCTTTTACTGTATCCCATAGATTTCGTATATTGTATTTACATTTTTATTTGTCCCAAGGCATTTTTTGATCTCTCTTTTGATTTCTTTCTTGACCCATTGATTTTTCAGTCACATGTTGTTTAATCTCCAAATATTTGTGAATTTTTCTGTTCTTTTTATAACTGATTTCTAGTTTCATACCATTGTGGTTGGAAAACATGCTTGATGTGATTTCAATCTTAAATTTATTAAGATTCATTTTAAGGCCTTACATATGATCTGTCCTGGAGAATGTTTTTTGTGTGTGCATTAGAAGAACATGTATCTGCAGTATAATTTTTAAATCTAGATCTTTAGGTAATTTTAAATTTATGTTTATATATGGTATGAGCAGGAATCCAACCACAGCTAGACCCAGTTGACCTAATACAATTCATTGATTTCAAATGCCTCCTGATCAGATTCTAAATCCAGTGATCTAATTTTATCAGCACAATACTCTTCTAATTAGTGTCTTTTTGCAGTATGTTTTATAATCTGATAAGCCAGTCCACACATCATTTTTCTTCCTTTCAAATATTTTCTTGGTTCCTGTTATATATATGGATAAATTTAGAATTAATCATCAAGCTCTGAAAGAGCCTTTGGGATTTGGTTTGGAAACGTATTTGTGGTATATTTTTAGGTGAAAACAAAATCAGTTCACAAATAATCTATATACTGTCATTGCCATTTTGTTTCTAAAATTACATATATATATATAATAAAACAACATCTCAAAGAATATACAAAAAATATGTAGCAGTGGTTATCTCCTGATGCTAGTATTATAGTTGATTTTTTTTTCCTGGTTTTTGTTTTCCAAATTTTCTACAATGTGTGTGTAATACTTTTTAAATTAGTAAAAAAAAAAATACTGAAAAAAATACTGAACTAAAATATATCCATTAGTAACTTCATGATTACTTAACAAACAGAAGCCAAATGGGAATAAAAAATGTTTCGCAGGAAATAAATATGTGAGTTGTAGAAAGTGAAGTGCAGATAGATACCTGGCTCAGAATATAACCCGAAGATGTCTGGAATGTTCCTGGGAAGGACTGAGGTGGGAAAACGGAGGCTGTACAACCATACAGCCCCCTCCGTTACCCTGCGCAGTTGACTTCAGTTCCGTTCAAGAGATGTGAGAGTCACAGCCTCCTCGCCTAGCAGTCTCTCCGGGCTATATTCTCTGCAGCTGGATTTAAAAGGCACCTGGTTTCTTTGGTTTCCCCATTTCAGAGATTCACATTCATATGACACAGCCAGACCTTGAAATGCGTCAAGACTTAGTGTAGTCTGGGCGCCTGGGTGGCTCAGTCGTTAAGCGTCTGCCTTCGGCTCAGGTCATGATCCCAGGGTCCTGGGATCAAGTCCCGCATCGGGCTCCCTGCTCGGCAGGAAGCCTGCTTCTCCCTCTCCCACTCCCCCTGCTTGTGTTCCTGCTCTCGCTATCTCTCTCTCTGTCATATAAATAAATAAAATCTTTAAAAAAAAAAAAAAAAAGACTTAGTGTAGTCTATATCTGGTCCTTGCATGTCCTGAGGTCTTCGTCAACATTTAACAGAAAGAAGATTGCAAAATCTGTTCCCAGCGCTTTGATATATTCGAAGAAGCAGCATGCTCATTCTTGGCTCACAGCATGTAGATTCTGTCAGCGGTGCAATTAAAACTTGGTTCTGTTTGCTCTTTAATCGACATGCTCTGTCAAGGTAATCTTACCAATTTAGCAATAATTATAACAACATCTAACATTTATCAAACATTTTCTGTGTGTCAAGCATTGCACTGCACTTTATATGAATATCTCATTAAATCCTTAAAACAGCCCTATAAATGTATTTATTTCCCATTTTATAAATGAGAAAACTGTGGCTCAGAGAGGTCCAGGTCATACAAACTGGTAAGTGCCACAGCTGACATTGAAACCCAGGCAGCCTAACTCCAGAACCTGCATCCTTAATACACTGGAAACTCAGTTTTTAATCTCTCTGCTTTCCTAAAAACCTGCTCTGCCTCCTGTACTTTCAGTCTTATTTGCTTACTGTCCTCAGCTAGAGCTGTCAAAATGATCCTCCATCCCCTCTCATTGAACTTCACCTCCTATCAGTCAGTTCTACCTTGAGGAAGTCTCACTTTCATAATACATCTTTTGCCCGTCTTTTGCCCTCCGTGTCCCCTGGCCCTGCCCCATGGCCCCGGGCTTGCCACAGTAACCTCCCTTGGCTGATTCTTCCTTCCACTCAGTCTAACGTGTTTTTATCTTCACAGTTCTCTTCCGAGAACATGAAGCTGATCATGTCACTGCACCGTTTAAGAGCTCTTAGAGTTCCTTTTTTGTTTGTTGTTTTTTAACCAGATTAGATCTGAACTGCTTAGCTCTCCATCCACAGTCTGGCCCCAGTCTGCCTCTTCAGCTTCATTTCCTGTCATTCTCTACGCAGTCCCCTTAGCTTACGCTCCCACCGCACTGAAAGGTTCCGTCTTCCCGAGGTCTGTGCCAAGCCCCTTCATAGCTCTGCGCATCTGCATTTCTTTTGTCTGCTTGAAAGCCTCTTCTTTGATCTCCCCACAAACTCCTCTGCAGCTCTCAGGATCCACATCACATACTGCCTGTAGTAACATCTGCCCAGACCCGTCCAGGATGCAGCTGTCATTCTTAGGTCTTCCCCTGTAGCATGCGTTCAGGGCTCGCTTGTGGTAACTAATTATCTGTGCATGTGTTTGTCTCTTCCATTAACCTACATGGATCTCGGGGCAAAGACCAAATGCATTCATCTTTCAGCACCGAGCACACAGGATGCCCTCGGTAAATGCTGGCTTAATGCTTGAAGGAATGTCCAAGAGAGCGTTTGAAACAATAGGAAGTTAGAATTATACTTACTCCTAAACAGAGGACTATCTTATGTGTTTCTCAGAGTAATCTCTTTAACTCAATTAGCAGGCCTAAATTAGCAGGTAGTCTAACATACTGAATAAAAGTGGTTTATAGCAAAAGGGAAAGGTCTTTTAAATATGTTTCCCTAGGACAGAGGACCATTATGCAAGATGAAGATCCATCTGAGATCATGCGTGTGCCCCTCTCCCCTGCTGGGCATGGGTGTGATATTGTGACACAGTGGAGAGAACATTCTCCCTGACGTGAGAGCACTGGTGCTGGCTTACCCCCTTTGGGACTTGGACTGGTCACCCCTTCACGAGCAAACACTCGATGTTAACTTGGACCCCTTCCTGCTTGGGAACTTTGATGCAGGAAGACTTCCCATAGAAAGTACCTCTCCTTTTTTTGGTCATTTCTTTTTTCATTTCCAGCTTTATTAAGGTTTGATTGACAAATAAAACTGACATAGTAAGTGTACAACATGATGGTTTGGTACACATTGTGAAGATCCCCAGAGTCGAGGTAATGCATCTGTCCTCTCACATAGCTCCTTTTTTTTCTCTTATGAGAACATTTCAGTTTTACTCTCTTAGCATATTTATTTATTTTTTTTAGGTGGGGAGAGGGGCAGAGGGAGAGGAAGAGAGAGAATCCCAAACAGGCTCCATGCTCGGCAGTGCAGAGCCCGATGCGGGACTCGATCCCACGACACTGAGATCATGACCTGAGCTGAAACCAAGAGTCAGACGCTCAACCAACTGAGCCACCCAGGCGCCCCTCTCTTAGCATATTTAATTATACAGTACAATGTTATCAACTGTAGTCATCATATTATACATTAGATCTTCAGACCTTATTCATGTTATAACTGAAAGTTTGTACCCCTTTACCAACCTGTCCCCATTTCCCCCACTCCCCCCGCCCTTGGTAGCTACTATTCTACTTTGTGTTTCTGTGAGTGTGTCTTTTCCCCCCACCCCCCTTCCACTTAGAAGTGATACCATGCAGTATTTGTCTTTCTGGTTTACTTCACTTAGCATAATGCCCTCTGGGTTCAACCATGTTGTTGGAAATGCCATTTCCTTACTCATGAGCAATAACAGTTAACCCAGTGCGAACAGCATCATTTTATTTTATCTGAAATCCATCTTCCTTTCCCTTTCAGCTTCAGGATGAGTTAGAAAAAGGTGAACGGGACAATGCAGAGCTACAGGAGTTTGCCAATGCCATTCTCCAGCAGATAGCAGATCACTGTCCCGATATCTTGGAGCAAGTGGTCAATGCGTTGGAAGAGTCGTCCTGACCCTGCTCTGTGGGAGCCCAGCAGCCTGCTGGAATAAATCCAGGAGTCGAGAAAGAAGAGCTGTAAGGAACGGGCACCCAGAAACTTCCTGGCACCCAAAAAACACTACAAACTCTATCCTATCTTGGTTGGTCCTTTGAGTGTGATTCCAGCACCCTTTCTACAGCTGGACATCTTAACTCTGCCTTTCGACTTTGGATATTGTCTCTACACTAATTTTCCTGATGTCCAGGGTGGGTAAGTGGCCAGGTTTCCATGAAGAACTGCCATCCAGTCATCAGCAGTGGAGAACTGTGGAAGCTGGTGGTTCTGCCCTTAACAGAGGGACATGGAGTGGAGAGCCCTTCTTCCTTCTGCCCTTGACATGAGAACTAAACCTGGAATCTCCTTGGAGTTCAACATTTTGAAAGAAAGTTCCCAATGGACTAGAGAGCTGAGTGTTCTAACATCACAACAGGTGCTTTCTCCTAAAAGGGTAAAAAAAAAAAAAAAATCTTAAGAAGAGGGGGGAAAAGAGAGAACAGGGACAAAGAGAAATTGACTCTTCTTTTTACTGTCTCTTTTGCTTACTTTCACGTGTAATGTTTTATGCAGGGGAGCTGCAAGCAGGCCTCATGATGGCTTAGTGAGTTTGGAGTCTTTACCCAGCCCTCTCTGTCTCACTCATCCTTGCTCCTCTCAACCAGTTAACAAGAGGATGGTGTGGACAGTTCTCCCCCGGGTCCCTCTTGCTTAAGACCTTTGACCTTATTATACTTAGGTTGTCAGATCATACATCTGGATCTGAAAGAGAAGAAGGGTTTGACGTGAGGCCCTGCTGTCACCACCTACAGCTCTGCTTCTGTAGAAGTTCCCTGGGGCCAGGCTGGTTTCTCCTACACATCTTCATTGGCATTCTAGGCCCCTGAGCCCCAAAAGAATGCTTCTGCCTTCCCACCACCCATGTTCCACCCACCTCCCTCCTGTTTAGCTTTACTCTTGATGTGCACTCCCAGAACCATAGCCTCGAGCATTGTCTGGAACCTCCTTCTGGCACAAATGAATGTTTCTCATCCCACACACATTCCTTCCTCCATTCTTTCATTCAGAGAATATTTATGAAATGCCCACTGTGTGCAAGTCACTGTTGGGTACCCATCCTTGACAAAAGTCTCTTTTCAGTGAGGGAGAAATGCGAAGGACTCTCTGAGACATAACCTGGTTGAGTCAAAGCAGTCAAAGGCATACCCTTCCCCTCCCCGCTCCTTCTATCTTAGTAGAAGTTCTCTTTTCCAGATGAATCTTTCACAAATGAGCCTTTCTCATTGCTCATTATAATGGAATTGATGAGGGGGCTCATCACCCTTGCGGGGGGCTGAGTCACTTACTTGCCTGCAGGATCTTATTTGGTGGTTCAGGATTTTTGTGGTTGTTGTTACCCCGCAAGGGTGTAGTGTTTAGGGGGGCTACAGCCGCAGATGGTATTTTCTTAACACATCTGTGCACACCACGTGGAACTTGGCCAGCTCCGTGTCGCAGATCAGAAAATGGACCCTAAAGTTGCAAATCCAGTTGAAGGTATTGGCATTTTGAACGGCATTCTTCCCAAGCTTAGACAGTGCCAGTCATAAATAATCAGGCACCAAGAAAGAGACCACTTCACCCAAATCTAGCCCTTTGACCACCTCTCCGGCCAGACGCCCACCAGACACTCACATCTTCTGATAAGAGTTGCTGGGCTAAATGTTTTTGTCTTGCATTTTCCTCTTTCCCCCTCCCCAGTTACTCACCCAGAGAATCTGATGCTGCCTGGAAAGTCACCACGGCTGTCAGTCTGGTATCTTCCCACCGGCAACCCTTGACTGTCCCCTTAACTTAATAGGGTCATATCTGCAGCTGCCCGGATTCCCTGCTGGTGTAAAACAGCCTCTCCTGTGAGAAGCTGTAGAATGTTTTGTGTCGAAGGTTTAAATGGGCTCTGCTCATAAACTTCTTACTGAGATGCTTCCTGATAGCCTGGCCAGCCAGAAGCAGACAAGATGGGAGATGGAGGGGTTACATAGTTAGTCGTGGTGGTTTGTGGTCAGTCACTTCAATTCCATGTATTTCTTGCACTGCCTGTAAGTGATGTAGAAAGCCCCCCGTATCTTAGGCCTGGAGTATTAGAATCTCACTTTATCATAATGCAGGGAACTGAGGGATGAGGACACCCTTGACAGGACCTGCACAGAGCAGGCAGGAGCAGAGGCCATGCCCAGAGAGGTGGCCTGGCCTGCCCCCTGGGTGTGTGACTCTCACTGCACCTCCTTTCTTTCCCTTTTCCTTTCAACTCCTCCTGTTGCTTCCCCTGGAAGTCCTCTGGACAGGTGCTTCTGAGAAGAAAAATTCCTGGACAAACATCATCTGTCTGGTCTCTATGAATCTCCTTGATTCCTCTTGGGTGGTCATCCTAGCACCTCAAATGGTTCTGAGGACTCTCTGGTTCTAGATGAAAGTAGGTTCTGGCTAAACTTTAATAGCAAACATGACCTGACCTTATATTACAAGGGCAAAATTAATACAATGTCTAGCACTTAGAGTATCTTATTGAGTTGAGATCATTCATCGAGCCAACTTTTACTAAATGCGCAATTCCCATCACACAAAGACTTACCATTGTATCTTCTGGTATTCATTTTCACAAGGTCACTCAGCTGCTGGGGAAGGTCTATAGCCTTGAAAACTCACTGCAGGTTGCCTATTAGATTCACCAAATTCATCCATCCCATTGGCAGGTCTAGTTTCCCCTTAGCACCTAAAGATCTGTACCCCAAATCAAGGTCATCATAAAAGGGGACAGGAAGAAGAGTGTGTAGAATCTAATGTGGGGCTCATGATTGACAAAATACAATGTGATTTTTCTCATCTTCTCATAGACCTCTATCCCAGGTACTCATTGAGTTCTTGGTGAAGTATCTGAATTGAGATTTACAAGGACCTGGATACCATTTGAAATGGAAAAGATTTTAAATGGGCTTTAATATATTAAGAAATATGAACAGGAATCCCCAAATCCATCTCAGCTCTAACCTTTAACCTGGTACCTTATAGTCTAATGAAGAGCTAAATGCTTCTCTCTCTTCCTCACACTTGATCTTCAGAAATGCTAGTAAAGCAGATGGGACCCAAGACTGCCTTAAGGGTCGGTAGTGGCGGTGTGACTTGGCACCTTTTGTCAATAAAAGTCTGTTTGGTTTTCCACGAGGAGTTCGTTGGCTCACCCACTCCTCAGAGAGAAGAGGAGGAGGAAGTCATCACAAAGTTTTAGTCAACTGGTGAGCTAATCCCTCCCCTATGACGTTCAGGATTGGCATTTAGACTTGCTGCTAGAGAGTCCTGCTGATCCCAGAACCATCCTGCCCTCCCCTTTGACCCCAGTTGTGAGGCACAGACCCACTGGCTACCCTTGGGGGGTTCTGAGGAAAGAGCAAATCAAGGAATATGGTGCCACATAGAATGTGACCCTCCCACGGCCCTTCCTGAGTCACAGTGGGCCCTGTGGCCGTAATATCAGTAACTTCCATGTCTGCCTCCCCAGCCTCACCTGCCACCCACAAGAGTTCAGAGCTATGGAAAAGCAGACGAGGACAGAGTAGACGCAGCAGAGCCTGCTGCCCTTTGCCAAGCCTGCAAGGCCAACCCGTCCATCACTGCCAGTCCCTGGGCCTCTCAGGACAGCGACTTGAACTGGTCAAAGAAATGTTTTAAAAAGAATCTGGAGTTTTCCCCACGTGGACTAAGGGAATGTTTGGGCAAGAAAAAACACACACACAGTACAGGGACATCCTTCTGAACAAAATGGCTGTCTTTACTTACTCTTTTTAAGCAAAAACTGTTTCCAAACTTTTTAGTGTCAAAACTGTAACCAAGTGTCTCCTGATTTTTTCCAATGTGTTTGGCGAGTGCTGTGACCCTCTTGTAGGTATTTCTCCTCCTGACTCTTTTGGGGGAAAGGTGGTTTTAGGGATTGATTTGGGGGGAGCGGGTTTTTGTCCCATCCCACATCCTCTTTTGTTTCTCTGCTTGTCGATATTGTCTGTGTGGTTCAGAGCATTGGGGCAGTTACATTGTGGCCATTGTTGAGATTATTAAGATATTAAAAAGTAGTTTGTAGAACTGAAAAGTTAACGAGCTGTGTTTTAAGAAATGCAAAACGATATCATGTTAATAAAGGAATTCAAGCTACGGGGCAGCCGAACTCCTCCCCCACCTCCCCCAAGTTGGCCGAGGTGGCAGCTGGGCTAGTCCCTTGGGAAGCACCAGTGGCCACCCTCCAGGTAGTGCAAGAGACAACTGCTGAGTCAAAGGAATTGGAATCTGGGGCTCAGAGGGTCCCCACCTGTGCCAGAGATCTCCTCTACATCCTCAGGACCTCTAGGTAGAGGTTTCAAAGTTTGTGACCCCATAACCACCCTCAAACCCACCTTGGTCCCAGCTCAGCGTGCCTAATACTGTGTGGTAACCCGGGCTTGGCTCTGAAGTCCCACAGCCGGCGGCAGCCCTGTGCGGGCCGCAGACCCTCTCTCCTGCCCACTTGGTGCTATATCATCCAGTGACCCATCCAGCACGGCCAAGCGCGGGCCAGCCTGGAACCCGCAATCCAGGCCAATGAATTGTACTCAGATCTCAGTTCCTTCTGGCTTCAGGCCCCAGGTTCTTTCCCTTTAAGCTTTTTAGAGCCTACATCTCCCAGGCCCAGGCTGTCTCTCTTGGCCCCAGAGATGCCACGGTCAGGAAAGGACGGGATCCCTGCCGAAGCCAGAGAATTCCCCCCCGGGCCAGCGCAAGCACTCTGGGCCCAGCCCTTGCTTGCACGCCACACCAGTATTGTATTCATGCCCTGATGCAGTCAGACCTACCTGAGGGCCACCCCCTTCCCGTTCTGGCCGGGCTGCCCACGCGGGCCTAGCCCACTGGCCGGGGACCCTGCCGAGTGCCCCGGGCTGTCCAGGGTGGAGACCCGATGTCTCCCCGGGATCTGCTCCCCTCTGCCCCGGAAGACAAGTGCTGCACTCTAGTGAGAGGAGCTGAGGGGCCCTGGGCGCCGACTCCTTCTAGCTTGAGTTCCTTGTGCTGACAGTAGCAGCCGCTATGATGGTGTCTGTGATGCAAATGCACCCGCTGCCTTCAACCGCGTGCGTGCGTGCGTGCGTGCGTGCATGTGTGTGTGTGTGACGGCCGGAGTCGTGGTACCGACAGGATAATGACATTACAAAGAAATTGTGTTAGAGTCAACTTTGCCTTGATAATTATTGTAAACACTTTGTCCATTTTTTTCTTTTTTATTCACCAACTAAATCCATCAGGAAATTATAAAGTTATTTAAAAATTGTGTGCTGTGTCTTTCTTTGAGTCTCAACCAGTCTGATAAGCCAAGTGAGATGAGTCTTCCAATGCCAGAAAAGCAGGGAGAAGCCAGCGGCCTCCAAGAGATTAACGCCGTGGTAGGTGAGCCAGGAACCCGCCATGTCCGGGGGTTAAGGCAGGGACGGGGGAGCCAAGGCTGGGCTCAGCCGTGAGGGGCCTGGTGGGGTGATGTCCTCGGAGAGAGGAGTCGGCCAGCCCCCTTAATTGCTTTTCAAAGTCAGTGTCCACCTCCCTTTCTCCTTCCTTAGGCGCTAGGCCCTCAGCCAGTTTCCCCATTTCGCATTGAACTGCGTTTCTGGAGCTCGTGCTCAGGTTGGGGAGCAGCCAGGGCGGGGCAGAGGGGGGTTTCACTCAGGACTGGGACTCAGGCTTCTTCGCGGTGTATCCGATGTATTAGCTCAGGGATGTGGGAGCTGCAGCAGCCAACAGAAAGTGCAAATACCAAGAATAAAGGAACCAAAGAACCTGTGCTTGAATATTCCCCAGTTTTGGTATTTGTCTTTGGCCTTCTGCTCAGTAAGAAATTATTGGGGGGGGGGGGGGTTCTTTTTGTATGAGAATTAGTTTTCTGCTTAGCTCCATTTCTCCATCTACCCCCAGAGGGGATCACCCCGCTTGCTGCGCTCTGCCCCGCTCCTGTGGAAATTCCTGCCCGCTGTGCACTGGCACTTGGGAATTGGACGGGAGAGTCAGACATCACCCCTCCTGGCAGGTTCTCCCTGCACCTGGGCTCTGGCCCTGCCTGCCTCCAGCTGGAACAGCTGCTGAGAAGTCCCACCAGGTGGAGGAACACCTGGGAGACTGCGCCATTTACAGGACTGGGAACCTGATGTTGCTCATCATTATCATCATGAAGCAGGAGCGATTTCACTTGCAGAACATGTATCATACTGCAAAATACAAGATCACAAGCACAAGCAGATGTGTCCACAGAAAGCTGTCAGATTACACTGGTCAGCTGTTTCCAGGGTTTTCCATTAATCTTATTTCACTATTTGTTTATTCACTCTGTGGTCTACCAGTACTCCATTGCAGACAAATGGACGCAGAGACCACAAGGTTCAAGGAAAATATGAGAAAACTTGCAGCAATTGAGAATTCCATCCATTAACTTGGTTTTTTCTCTGAATTAGAAAAAGACTGCTATTATTTGATTTTTTGAGGTGGAATATCTCAAGCTGGCTCAAAGATGATTAAGAACTAGTCAGTCTTGGGGCGCTAGGTGGCTCAGTCGGTTAAGCGCCCAACTCTGGATTGCTCAGGTCGTGATCTCAGGGTGGTTGAGATCGAGCCCCCACGTCAGGCTTCATGCTAGATGTGGAGCCTACTCAAGATTCTCTCTCTCCCTCTCCCTCTGCCCCTCCCAACCCCCTGCCATCTCTTTTGCGCGCTCTCTCAAAAAAAAGAGTTTGGGGTGAGGGAGTGTTTGAGATCCACGAGCTTTCCCAGATGTCCTAGAAAGAGCCCTGGACTCCCAGCCCAGAGCCTTTGGTTGCCCCCTGACCTCCCAGCCTCTCTTCAACCTTCCCCTTGAAAATAAGGCCGCCTTCATCTAGGTCACAAAGCCATAAGCCATGAGGAATAATATATATTATGTGTTTGCTTTTTGAAAGCTCCTTTAAGAGTGTAAAGCACAAAATTGCTTTTTTCACATCTTAAGTTTGCTTTAAGCTAATCTAGCATGTGTGTTGGGGAGGTGGTGAGGAGCGGGTCATCCATACAGAAAGATTGGCCATGGGTCAGTAACTGCTGGAGCTGGGGATCGGATGCCTGGGGTTCCTTATCCCATTCTATTACCGTGTATGTTTGAAATTTCCCCGAGTTAAATACTCATGTCCTTCAATTGTGCTTCCCAGTAACCACACGTGGACCTTTTCCCCCAGGATCCAAGTAATTCGCCTTCACAGATTGATGCCAGAGCCCTCAGTTCAGTATTCATGTTCTGCTGTGTTCTGGGCACCAGTCATGCCAGTAAGAGCCTGGGGCATGTCTCCCAGGAGCCAGCTTCAGCTCTCCGCACTTCACCTGTTTTCTCTCCTTTCATCTCCGTAGCCATCCTGTGAGGCGGGTGCTGCTATCCCCGTTGTACAGATGAGGCACGGGGCAGTGGGACCACCTTCCCTAGGTCCTGCAGCTCGGACCTGGTGGGGCTAGAGGTTCAACCCGGCTCCGGCTCCAGGGCCTGTGCTCTTCAACCCACTACTGTGGTCACTTCTCTTGGGGAGCTCGGTCCAGCGGAGGAAAGGAATCCCAATAAAATGTGGGAGCACAGAAGAGCAGGCAATGCTCTTCACAGACCTTCAAGTTTGACCTTGAAAGGTAAACTGAATTTGGCCAGCAGAGGAGTTCAAGGATGAGGGAGGCAGAAAAGAGGGCCCGAGCAAAAATAGGGAAGTGGGAAGGGACACAGGGTATTTGGGGATAGCAAGCTGTCTAATGTCAAGATCAAATACTGCTTGGCTTAAGACCATGGAGGAGAATTTGGCTGTCATCGTGATCCCGGGGGTCCTGGGATCGAGTCCCTCATCAGGCTCCCTGCTCATCAGGGAGTCTGCGTCTCCCTCTGCCTGTCCCCACTCCTTCCCTCTCCCGGCTCGTGCCTGTTTCTCTCAAATAAAAAAATAAAATCTTAAAAAAAAAAAAAAAAAAGACCATAGAGAAGAAGACATGGTGGCCACAAACATAGCTTCAATGGAGGCTGGATGGGCCCATACTGTGGAGATCTCTAATGCTCTGGAAAGGAAGGCCAGTTTGGGGAATCCTTAGCCACACCACCGGTGACGGAACTACAGCCACCACAAAAGGCCCATCAAGAAAAAAAGAAAAAGCAAAGCACCTGGGTGTGTCCACTCTGGAAAGTGTCCAGGCCCAGTGACCGTGGGGGCTGCTGGGGGTAGCGAGGAGCAGCCTGCAGCCGGAGCCGTGCGGGGAAGTCGCCCAGCCCTACGAGGCCGGGAAGTGATGGGCCTCGGGTCAAAGCCGGCGCGGTCTGTGCGCCAGTGTCTCTCCGCAGTTCCTGCCGCCCGGCCCGGCACCGCCAGAGCCTGAGGCCAGACAGCAGGCTCGCTGCGGCCCGGGCCTCCGAGCGGACTCCCTGGCGGCCCTGCAGGGCGGGAGGCAGCGCGGCCCGCCCGGAGGCGGTGGGCGGTTCCGAGCTCGCCGGAAACCACGTGCCCCGCTTTCCGGCGGCCGGAGGCCCGAGGCCCGAGGAGGCTGGCGCCGCCCGCAGCCGGGCGCCGTGTCCTCGCCAAGGTTCAGGCGGTGCCGCGTGGTGAGTGCTGTCTCCCCAGGCCCCCGGTGAGAAGGGGATGAGGTTGGAAGAGTCGGTACCACCACCAGCCCTCCGCGTCCCCCGAGACCATGCCCCCGCCGTGGCGAGCGGGGGAGATTGATGTCCCCCGGAAGCGGCGCTCACAGGGGGACTGGCGCGGGTCCCTCCCTTGCTTCCAGCTGTGCGGCGACAGCAAGCTGGCCTTCCCGCCTGAGTTAGCAATCCTGCCAGTCTCCCTTGTGTCTCCCGGGCTCAGTGCCCCCTCTTGCCCGCCCCCCAGCACTCCAGCCTTGCTGCTGAGGGTGAAGAACCCCACCCGCCTTCTCTTACGAGGGAGGGCGGGGCGTGTGAGGGGAAAAACGTCCATCAAGTGTCTGCGGAGTTGCCGCCGCCTCCGGCCCTGGCGGCATTCACACTCAAGACGTGGTTCCTTTGGGTTCGTCTTGGGCTTGAATTTTTTTTTTAATTACGATTTTATTCGTAAGGATTGTCGGAAACGAGGCTTTGGGGGGAGTCTGCTGGCAATCTTAACTTGGAGGGGCGCGCGCACCGGATGGGGCGGCCTCCTGGCCTCTCGCCGCGCGTGGGCGGCAGAAACGTGCTGGAACCAAGCCCAGCCCCGGGCACTGGTGTGCGAGGCCCGCAGCCGCGGCTGCCCCTCCCCCGGCGGCCGCACGTGGTCAACCGAGGGGACGCGCGCGGCAGGCTCCAGGGGGAGTGGGTGGCTGGAGGTTCTTGTATCTAGTTTTCCTTTGATCGCTGTCACGAGCATGATGTCAGGAAGATCCCGCAGCTTTGAGGCGTCATCTGACTCCAGGGAAAAAGAAAAGTCAAGAAGCCGGTCAGCCCTCCGCAGCCGTCGGCTCCTCGCTGGCCATCCCCGCGGCGCTCGCTGCTCAAAGGACCCCCGCCCAGCAGGGGCCGTGCCATCTCGGGCGGCTGTCCCCCGGCCACACCGGCTGCTTGCCCTGCACAGCCTCTGTGGGGCCCGCAGGGCTGTGGGGGACGGGATGCTTATCCCGCCGACTGCGCGGAGAACAAAAGCAACGTAGGGCTTGGCGCGTGTGAGCCCTGGCCCAGAAGATGAAGGAAGACCCAGGTTCTCCTCTTCTCTTCACTGCTTATTAGGTGTGTGGGCTTGGAGAATTCACTTGGCCCCTTTGACCTTCAGTTTTCTCTTTTTTAAAATAGAAATAATAGTGCCCAGGGGCGTCTGGGTGGCTCAGGCGGTTGAGCGTCCGACTCTTGGTTTCTGCTCAGGTCATGATCTCAGGGTCCTGAGATCGGGCCCTGTGTTAGGCTCCAAGTTCAGAGGGGAGTCTGTTTGAGATTCTCTCTCCCTCTCCCTCTGACCCTCCCCCCACTCTCTCTCTCTCTCAAATAAAATCTTTTTTAAAAAAATATTTTATTTATTTATTTGACAGAGAGAGACACAGCGAGAGAGGGAACACAAGCAGGGGGAGTGGGAGAGGGAGAAGTAGGCTCCCCGCTGAGCTGGGAGCCAGATGCGGGGCTCGATCCCAGGACCCTGGGATCATGACCTGAGCCAAAGGCAGACACCCAACTGAGCCACCCAGGTGCCCCTCAAATAAACAAATCTTTAAAAAATAAAAATAAAGAAATAAAGTGCCCCCTTCACAGGTGTACAGTGCAGTTAGGTGAGCTAATGCATGGGAAGGCTCACGGAGGGGTCCCAGCAGCTGTTTGTTGCATTAATCAGCTCGGGTGAGCCATCCTTTGCCTGGGAAACCCTTGCTGGGTCACACCCACCATCTGCAGGATAGAATTATCCCTGTGGCCTATGAGTAAATCCACATACTGTTTTGCCTAAAGACGCCAAGGGGACCATCACCTGCCTAAAAGTTCATCCCACTCTGACCGGGGCCTGTAAGTGCTATTTCCCCCTGTCTGAAATCTTACAGATGGGAAAGCTGAGGCTGGGAATGGGGAGTCTCATGTAGGGGAATTGCCACCCACCTCTTCCCTCCGCGCCCCCCCCCCCCCCCCCCCAGTCCCAGGCTCCCTGCTGCCGGGCATGAACTTGGGAGAGCACACGGGACAGCTCTGGGCCTGCCTTCTGGGAGCCCAGTCCGGGCTGAGGCTGCGCTGCCCTCCCCCAGGGGAATCCGATGCCAACAATCATATTGCTTCTGCTTTAGGAGGAAAAAACCCCAGATGCCAATGTGCCTGCCTCATCAGCTGGGGCCGTGTTATCCTCCTGCAGGGATGGGCTCCTGAATGCAAGCTTTGTCTGGCCTGCCTGTTAGTCACTGTGACAAAAGAGACCCAGGGAGACTGGAGCCCGACGTTGGATTCTTTGGCCAGGATGTCACGTCGTGGAGGCCAGGCCGCAGCGTGCAAGCAAAGCCCGGTTCCAGGACCTCTGAGCTCTCCTGCGTGCATTGGGACCAGCAGAAGTCACCCGAGGTGTCCCCACTCAACCCCACCCGTGAGCGCATACTTTGACCTCCATCCCCTCCCACCCGGGCCCCATGGCCCCCTCATCTCCCCGTCCCCTCTGCCTGGAAGGCCCCTGAGGGCAGGAAGCGTGGCTGCCTCCCTCCTGGGTCCCCTGCAGGCCCCCAGCACACACTCTAGGGCTTACCAAGTGCTTCCAGCAGATGTGCTCCCTTGTCGGCTTCCCTTGAGCTATGTATCCTGGGATTCTCTTTTCCACAGCTGGCCCGGGGTCAGCCCATGTCACTGGAAACGTATCAGTCCCTGAAATATTCACACAAACACCTGTCAGGAGCCCACCTTCCCCCGTGGGCAGGATGGGTCACAACAAGCCCACGCCAGAGCTACTTGATGTCATGGGGAGTCCCGGCTTGCTGCCTCCTCCATTTCAGGCCAGGCCACGGAGCAGCAGGGTCCCCACGACTGCAGCTCGGGGGCACACAGCTGGGAGGGCAGCAGCTGGGGTTTGACCCTGGAGCCTCGGGATCCTGTTGCAGGGGCTTACTGGGGCCTTCTCTATTCCCCCTGTGCTGACCTCTTCGCGGGTTTCCCTGTGCAGTGAGGGCCGGTAGGAGCTCTTCACAGGAAAATCTTCATGCCGAAGGGCTCAGTTGATGTCTTGGGAGCTTGCCAGGGACTGAAATGCAGCCAGTCTTTCTAAACGTTCCTCCTGGCCCTGCGAGTATGTGCATACATACACCATACACCCGAACTCTGGGTGATACACACACACTCACACTCACACACACACGCACGCGCAGGCTTTGGCCAAGTGTGAGGGTCTCCATGTTATGAAGGGAATAAGTAAACAAACTCAACATTTCTGTTTCCCTCTGAGGCTTGCAAAGAAGGTGTTAAGAGCACAAGATTTAAATCATAAACTTTATTAAAAGCCAAACAGCCCAGTGTGTGACTCTTGCCAACTCGGACAGAGTCTTTGGGGTAAAGCTACACTGAGCTAATCCAGAAGGAATCAAGTGGAGGAAGACAGCGGGTGGGAGGGAGCCAAGGCATCCAACCTATGGAAGGTGGAGTGGGGGCAGCTGCGCTTGGATTCAGCCGCCCACCCTGGCTGGGCCAGGAGGATGGGGCAGGAGCCCAGGTAAGGCCTTCAAAGTATTGAATCGTGTTTTCTAACTTTCTTCATTCTATTCCCTTAACAAATGGAGCCTCTTTATACCTGAAGGACTCCTGGCAAGGCAGGGGGAGCATGTACTCCAGCCAGTCTGAGAACAGGCCAAAGTTGCTGGGTGAGTAGCATTTGAGAGACGAGCAAGAGAGGAACGCCCCAGCTGCTCCCCGACCAGGCTCGTCTCCACCCAACCTGAGGCAGCTTTCCTCTTCCAAAGATTAGTTGCCTCTTTACCGGGGGCAGGGACCATGGCCACAAGACACAGAAAGATGAATAAGATCACGGCTTGCAAGGAGTTCTAAATCCAGTTAGGGAACCAGAACAAAGACATGAATCAACAGTAAGCACTGTAATTCAGGACAGGATCAGAGTGGAGGGGGCCAAGCAGAGGAGCTTTTCCTGGGGAGAGGGAACCACTCTTACCTCCAACCCAAATTTGGCCCCAAGATGTCTTCCCAAAATGGCTCTGCCAGACTCAAGCTCTTCACTAACCCTCAGCCCGGCTCCTGTTCTCCATCTGTCTCACCTCCTGAGGACATTTCAGCACCACTAGAGTCGCTTGGGATGTTGTGTCATTGAACTTGAAGAGTCCCACCTCCACTCTCTGACACAAGCTGGCCAAGGACAAGAGCCTGTCTCTGCAGAGCCCCTGGGATAGCAGCCATCCCATTCCACACATGACAGAAGCCCTCCATCCCTGAGCTGGCCCCAGGAGGCTCCCAGACCTGAGGGGGCCAGTGAGGACCCACAGACAACAATGGGGCCAGGAGGAAGGGATGCAGCCTTGGTTAACGGACACGGGACCCTGCTGGTCTTTTTCCCACCAGTTAGACTTCGCAGGCAGTATGGCTTCAGGAGACCCACGTGTCTTAACAAAGTATTGGTTTTATCGTAAGGTGTTAAAGATCATTGGGTGCCTGGCTGGCTCAGCTGATAGAGCACAAGACTCTTGATGGGGTCATGAGTTTGAGCCCACATTGGGTAAGAGGTTAGTACAATAATAAAATAAAATGCTTTTTTTTTTTTTTTTAAATCATCAGCACAGCTTGGGACTGGCCACAGCATTCTTCCAAATCTCCTCCATGTAATCTCCTGGGAGTACCGAGGGCCTTTGCCCAGAATCTCTGCAACCTTCAAAGATCTGGGGCGTGGGGGCGGGTCAGGCAGGACTTATCTAATCCCCTTGGAACAATTTCCTATATATGTGTGTATGTAGGTGTCTCTGTAAATAGCGATTAAATATTCTTGCCTGGATATCTGTGTCTGCAAACCAGGGCTTCTATTAAATGTAATTACTTCCTCCTGGAGTTCTTTGAATTCTCCCTCCTGAGAGAGAGAGAGGAAGAGCGGGGAGGTGTGTGCTTCGAGCCTCGCCTGAGAAGTGAGGGCCCGGAGGTGGCTCACGCAGGCTGTGTGGCTGGTCACACTTGCCCTTGACAGCCAGGAGATGCCCAGGATCCAAGAAGACCCGGGCCTGCTGTCCCTCCACCTCCTTGCCCACACCTGCCACTAAGCCGCCCCAGGGGGACAGCTTCTCATCCCCAAACCTGCCCAGCCTTCCCCAGCGGCTCTTCTTTCTTTCTCTTCCATTTTCTCCCTTTGCCTAAAAAGATCCCACCACAAAAAAAACAAAACAAGTCTTCTTCTCTTCCTCCATAAGTAGCCACCGGATCAGGAGACCACAGGGGCTGGAAAGCGCGCTGGTCTGCAGGGCCGGAGGTCACTATGCAGGTGTGGGCCGCGGACGGGTTCAAGGTCTGCTCCGTTCCCAGCAAGCGTGGGAAGGAATGTGTCCTGCGTCTCCAGGACATACATGATCCCAGCTGCTGGCGGCGGGGCCAGGTTGGTGGAGAAACTCCATCATTTGTGTCCCCTGCTTCTCCCCAGCTTTTCCTGGGATGCCTTTTGAGGTTTGCTATACGTGTTTGTTTCCAGGTTTGCGTCAGTCACTGTTGACTGTGGGTAACTTTCGTTACCAGGGCAAACCTGGGCCGGGCCAGCTCCCCACAGTGCCTCCGAGGCCTCCCACCCCAGCGGCCGCCAGCTCACCCCCACCTCGGCCTCCCCTTTGCACACACTGCTCTCCGTCCACACCACCCACCCCTGGGTTTGCCGTTATTTTCACAGTGGCCCTCTGTGAATTTTAAAAATGAGCATTAGAAGAGTTATTTATACGAATACCTCCACAGGAGGTTATTTATATGAGAACATACAGTATCCTTGATCATCCAGCTGCCGAGTTGGAGGGACGGAAAGAACCCTTTATTAAGTGCCTCTGATGAGTCAGACCCCGAGCCAGCCCTCTCCTATGTGGCTGGGATCACTGTCCACGTTTTAGACAGATGTGGAACGCGAACACGGCGCACATCTGTTTTGTCATCCATATATCCTTGTGCTTAGAAGGGTGGCTGGAGCTTTCTAGGTGTTCAGTAAAAACGTGTTCCATAAATGAATGGAAAGGAAGCAGAGGTTCAGCGCGGGATGCCACTGACGTGGAGTCCCACGGCCTGGCCATGACCAGATGGATGGCGCCAGAGGCCTGCCTGGCCCTCAGCCCGGGCTCCTTCCCTCCCCCTTCCATGGGTCTCCCTCATCTTCTCTGGTTGTAGCCCCTGGGCTCTCGCAAAGGCTGGGGTGTGACCCAAACAGCACGGTGTTTCCTCAAAAAATTAAACAGAGAATTACCATATGATCCTGCAACCCCTCTTCTGGGCATAGAATGGAGGGCGGGGTCTCAAAGACTCGTAGCCGCATTATGCACAACAGCCGAAAGGTAGAAGCAACACCAGTGGCCGACAGTGGATGAACGCATAAAACAAAATAGCCATCAGTGGAGTATTATTCTGCTTTAGAAAGAAAGAAGCTCTGATGCAGACCACACAGGGCTGGACCTGGAGACATTACACTAAGTGATTAAGGCAGGTGCAAAAGGACGAATAACGGTGGGATTCCTCTTATATGAGGGGCCTAGAGTAGGCAAATTCATAGAGACAGAAGGCAGATTAGAGGGCAGCACAGGCTGGAAGAAGAGTGGGGGGTTAGTGTTTAATGGGCACAGAGTTACCATTTGGGAAGACGAACCGTGCTCCGGAGAGGGATGCGATGGTGGCATGTGCTTCGTGCCACCGAACTGTACACGTACAGATGGTTCAAATGGTCATTTTTATGTGATCTAAATGTTATCACAATAAAAAGTTAATTAAAACTAATAAATACAAACCGGAAGTAGAATAGAGTTTTTCTTGAGAACAATGAAAAAGTTGTGTGTGTGGACTGTGGGGATGGTTATATAGCATTGTGATACTCGGTCCCACCACACTCTATACCTACGAATCGTTAAAATTATAAATTCTCTGTCACGGGCGCTCCTGGGTGGCTCCGTTGGTTGAGCATCTGGCTTCGGCTCAGGTCATGATCGAGTCTCGCATCGCATCGGGCTCCCTGCTCAGCGGGGAGTCTGCTTCCCCCTCTGCCTGCCTGTGCTTGTGCTCTTTCTTTCTTTCTCTCTTTCACATAAATAAATAAAATCTTTTTTTAAAAAAATAAAATACACCTGAGGGCTTCTTCCGTTTTCTAAATCGGGAATGGGGCACAAAGAGGTTGAGTAAACTACCTCTTATTAGATTTGTTCGGTTTAGAGCAGAATGCTCCCGAGGAATTCACTTTATATTAAAGAAAGGCTGCTTTCGATTAAGGGCATCATAAGAGAGCAGCGGGGGTCCCCCTAACTTCCCTCTTACGGCAGCATCCCCTCTCACTCTCTAAAGCAGCCGATTCCATTTTTGAACAGATTTTTATGTTAGAAAACTCTTCCTTATAGGTTCATACGTAGTGAGAGCTGGAAAGGATCTTAGAAATAATCCTGTCTACTCTCTTCATTTTCAACAGAAGGGGGTCTAGAAATATTAAGCAATGTGGTCAAGATCCCACTTTTGGCAGCACCCAGACCCCTGCTCTTGAGCCTCAGGCTCCTTCCAGCGTGGCACCTAAGACCTCTGAGCTGGGATGACCCAGCCCCAGCTAAATCGGACACCGGCTAGAATCGTCCTCCTACAGCCTCTTCTTCCTCCTGCTGTAGCCCCAGCAACATGCTCCCCTGCTCAGGGAGCCTCCCTGGCCACCGGCAATGAAGAGCACGCCTTCCCCAAAGTTAACCCAAGAGCTAGTCCACTAAAGGCAAGGCACAGGCTGAGCCTGGCTACCCATCCCCCAGTCCTTTCTACCTCAACAAGAATAAATCTGTTCCACCAGAAATAGCAGAGATCAATATTATTTGCTGCAACTAGAAATGGATACCCCACTGGGACCGCCTATGAAAAGTGCATCTCGCGTTTATTCAACAAGCTGATGTTATCTCGTGGAAACAGCAAAACACCATGTGCTGCTTGCAAACTATAATGTTCACTTAGATTCCAAAATTGCCAGCAACTACAAAGTGTAGATGTGAGCCTTTGAGGATTAGATGGGGAGTCACCCATTCCCCACTTTGGAGCCAGAAACTATATATCTGCTGCCTAGGTTTGCCCCAAATTCAATCACTGTGTCTGACAAAAATGTGAATACATTCAGCTTCATACACAGCCTCTTGAAATGGCTTGAGGAAATGAAGCCCAAATAACTTTGAAATAACTTGAAAATAACTTTTCAACCTTATAAAAGTATAGGGAGTAGACTTTCATATGAGTTCTCATGGTATCCAAGAAACAAGAAAACTGAAAAAATTTACGCTTTTAAACTTTAACTTCACGTGTGAAGAGAATATCCCATATTTTCCCTGATATTTTGGCGTCAGCGTGGGAGGACTGCCTGAGCTGAAGGACGGGCACACATAGCCACAACACTGGTCTACACCGCCTTATGCTCCCTCCTGCCCCAATAGACAGTCCTATCAAAAAGAAAATGAGTCTAATTTGCAATGATTTTTAATGACTCCAATTGAGTCCTAGTATGTGATAAGTTCTTTTCAAAGTATCCAGAAACAATTCAATAATTTTCCCTAAATTTTTTGCTGGAGACTAACATTAATCATTAAGTGTGTGTGTGTGTGTGCGTGTTTGAATCCCCACAGCAGAGAGCGCAAAACTTTTTTTTAAGCTTATTTATTTATATTCTCAGGGCACCTGGGTGGCCCCATCAGCTAAACATCTGTCTTCAGCTCAGGTCATGATTCCGGGGTCCTGGGATCGAGCCCCACGTCGGGCTCCCTGCTCAGCGGGGAGCCAGCTTCTCCCTCTCCCTCTGCCTCTCTATTCCTGCTCTCTCTCCCAATCGCACTCGCTCTCTCTCAGTCATGCTCTCTCTCTTTCAAATAAATAAATCTTTTTAAAAATGTTTTTAAAGTCTATTTATATTCTCTACACCCAACATGGGGTTCGAACTCACAACCCTGAGATCAAGAGTCAGACACTCCACCAACTGAGCTAGCCAGGTGCCCCAGCAAACTTCTTCTGTAAGGAGCACGAGAGTAAATCTGTTCATCAGTGCTGGCTTCCTGGGCAGGCACACAGGACCCTGACTTTAGAGAGGCCACCATACTTGTTTTAATGCTCTATTGTTGCCATCATGGAATTTTTAATATTCTTTTGTAACAAGGGGCCCCACATGTTCATTTTGTACTGCAAATTTTGTAGCCAGTCTTGCTCACAGGCCCATACAGTGTCTAATACAACAGCTCAGCCATGCTGCAGCCATAGGCAATAGGGAAACAAATGCATGTGTTCCAATAAAACTTAATTTGTAGACACTGAAATTGGAATTTCATAGAATTTTCACATGTCACAAAATATCGGTCCTCAAAAATACTTTTCTCCAACCATTTAAATATGTAAAAGCCATCCTTAGTTTGCCGTGCAAAAATAGGTTTTCGTCTGGATTCCGCCCCTGGTGTAGTTGGCCAACCCCTAGTCTAGAGAAAAATCTGGAGAGACCATAATTTTCCTCTTGTTTAAATTCTGGATGTTGGCTCAGATTCCTGGGGATTTGCACAGGCCATGCTAGTGTGCCGCCATATTGGGTGCAGGAATGGGATGTTATCAGTTAAGAGCTCTGCGTGTCTGCACCATGGTGGAGAGGAGCGCAATGGACCTTTCGGCAACACCTTCCCACCTATTCCCTCTGACATCCTGGATCTGGCCCACCCAATGAAAGTAGAAACGGAGATTCAGCCACCGCTCCCTTCCCCTCCTCCCCCTACAAAGCCACTGAGTTGTGATGTCAGGTCATCTTCCTCTGCCGGACCAGAGAACAGGAGGGACACTAGAGACTTCGGTGTCGACATATGTGCTGAATCCTTCCCGAAGCCTCTCTGTGTTTCTCTGGGGAGCAATGGCGGATGGCCGAGCCCAGTCTGACCGCAGAGCGTCAAGGCTCAGGAACACCCAGAACTTCCCT